CGGGCGTTGCCCTCGTCCAGCTGCCCCCGGAGCCGCTCCAGGCGCTCCCGGTGCTGCTCCTCTGCCCGCGCCGCCCGCGCCTCCGCCCGCTCCAGCCGCTCCCGCAGCTCCGCCAGCTCCTCCCGCAGCGCCTCCAGGAGCCTCCCGTGCTGGGGACACCGGGACGGGGTCACCGAGAGGGTTGGGGACACCGGGATGGGGTCACCGAGAGGGTTGGGGACACCGGGATGGGGTCACCGGGGTGGTTCCGGGGGGGTACCGGGGGTTGGGGACAGCGCCCGCTCCAGGCACTCCCGCAGCTCCTCCGTGCTGGGGACACCGAAATTGGGACACCAAGGACTTGGGGACACCGGGACGGGGTCACCGAGAGGGTTGGGGACACCGGGATGGGGTCACCGGGGTGGTTCCGGGGGATACCGGGGGTTACCGGGAGCTGGGGACGCCGCCCGCTCCAGGCGCTCCCGCAGCTCCTCCGTGCTGGGGACACCGGGATTGGGACACCAGGGACTTGGGGACACCGGGATTGGGTCACTGGGGACTTGGGGACACCGGGATGGGGTCACCGAGGGGTTTGGGACACCGGGATGGCATCACCGGAGAGGTACCGGGGGTTACCGGGGGCTGGGGACGCCGCCGGCTCCAGGCGCTCCCTCAGCGCCTCCGTGCTGGGGACACCGGGATTGGGACACCAGGGACTTGGGGACACCGGGATTGGGACACCAGGGACTTGGGGACACCGGGATTGGGTCACTGGGGACTTGGGGACACCGGGATTGGGTCACCGAGAGGGTTGGGGACACCGGGATGGCGTCACCGAGGGGTTGGGGACAATGGGGACGGGGTTACCGGGAGCTGTCACCCAGCCCCGATTGTCTCTTCCAGGAGCCGCCCGTGTTGGGGACACCGAGGGGACACCGAGGGGACACCGGGAGACATCGGGGGACACCGAGAGGACACTGGGGGACAGCGGGGGACACCGGGGACTGTCCCCACCCCTCCTCGCCCCGGCGTTACCTTCTCGAGCGGCCTCAGCGCGTAGAGCTCGCCCGGGGCTACCGAGTCCTCGGCCAGGCGCTGCCACGGCACCGTGGATTTGCGGGGCAGCGACGCCGACGAGCGCAGCTTCCCCCGGGGCTGCGACATCGCGACAGCCGTTAATGTCACCCGGTACCCGGCAATGGCATCGCGACAGCCGTTAATGTCACCCGGTACCCGGTAATGACATCGCGACAGCCGTTAATGTCACCCGGTACCCGGTAATGGCATCGCCACACCCGGTAATGTCCCCTTATTGTCCCCTTATTGTCATTGGGGCACCCGTTAATGTCACCAGACCCCCATTAGTGTCACCATTAATGGTGTCAACATTAATTAGCCCCGTTAATTCCATCAGACCCCCCATTAATGTCACCACACCCCCATTAATGTCACCACAACCCGTTAATGCCACCAAACGTCCATTAATGCCACCATTAATTGTCACCATTAATTAGCCCCATCCCACATCCCACCTTAGTGTCACCATTAATAGTGTCAACATTAATTAGCCCCATTAATTCCACCAGACCCCTATTAATGTCATCACACCCCCGTTAATTAGCCCCATTAATGGTGTTACCATTAATTAGCCCCATTAATTCCACCAGAACCCCATTAATGTCACCACACCCCCATTAGTGTCACCATTAATCATATCACCATTAATTAGCCCCATTAATTCCACCAGATCCCTATTAATGTCACCACATCCCCATTAATTAGCCCCATTAATGCCACCACACCCCCATTAGTGTCACCATTAATTAGCCCCATTAATTCCACCACACCCCTCGAACCCCCCCACCCCATTACGGCCACCAGTGGCCACCACTGTCCCCACCCCAGTGGCCACCAGCACTCACCGCGCCACCGGCGGGCACGGGTGACGTCCCCGTGTCACCCTGGGGTGTCCCCTGGGCCGAGGGCGTGGCCGTGGCGGGTTTGGGGGGACACCGGGGGGCTTTGCCCTGTGCCGGGACGCTCTGGGTGCGCTGGACATGGCGGCGGTGCCGGCTCGGTACCGGCAC